CAGTCACTAGTGTTGAAGTTGCAAATTAATTGATTGCAATTTTTTTGTGTATACGAAATGTTCGACCATTACATTGCTTTCCATTTCTGCAACTTTTGAGAAAAACTGTTTTTAATTATATTTCAAGATCAGTTTCATCATTTCATCATCGTCAGTTTCTTTAACAGAGAGAAGATCAACCGTTTAACAGAACCAGCTCCAACGCAAGTTTTAGATAAAATATTTTTTAAAGAGTCAGGAACTTACAATCGTTTGTTGGCAAACTCCTCCTTTTCTTCTCCCTTTTCTTCGCTTCCGCGAATCAATCTGAAGATAACAAAAGATGAATTGTTCAGCAAAAACTTGAATAGATAATTTTTGCTTCTAAATGAATAGTTTAAGTGACTTAGTTCTTCCTTAGGGCGACTAGGGGACTGACAGGAGATTGGTACGCGGGTTATAAAATGAAATTAGTCCAGGTTTGTTCTTCCACGCGTGATTACAGTTAAATTGTCAATTAAACAGTCAATGGATAAATGATAAATATTGTTCGCATATGGGCAGCTGTAAACACGCATTTGCGTTTATAGACCTAATAACGGATTGATCCCCTGGACATGGCTTTAATGTGCTATCTTATAAAAAACAGGTTACAAGATACGATTTGTCCGCCTACCAAATTATATCCAGAGCCTGATTTAGGCGCCTAGTGACTGTACATTGAACCAAGGGTGAAACTAAAAAGCATGAAACTTCTTCTCAATTTGAGTGTTGGCGCTGGTATAGAAATGGGCCCAAATAGAATTAATGAAAAGAACTCTCTGGTGAAGGTGATCTTCGAATTCGATTTTCTGGTAGCCTATTTTCAATTCTACAAATAATGCTTAGCAGCTTGCTATTAACACATTGTCTGATGATTGGAGACATGTTCTCAGAAATATTAATAAATGGCTACAATTATGTTGTACAGGTAACCTGAAGCACATACATTAAAAAACATTCCAGATTAAATATAAACGATTCGGGGGAAGTGAGGGATGGAGGAAGAGCAAGCAAGCTCATACCGTTTGAGAATCAGGGTACATAATGACTTTCAGCGAGCTAACCGTCGTTTGCAAATACACACAGGAAGGGCTGTAGTCTTAAAAAGTGACATTACAAAACAAACAACATAACTGCTATGAAATGAAAAATAAACTAATGCCAATTTGTACAAAATAGACAAAACAACTATTTTTAATCACCACAAACCTCTCAAAGATCAGCTCAAGATTCTGGCTCCAGCTCTCCGCTCTATCTGAAACGAGTTTCAGAATCATATTCAGATGACAGGTAACTTAAATGTGTATTATCTTGTTAGAGACAAATTTAACTTTATAAACAATAGTATGAGATCTTCCCTAGATTTCACTGTCGTAGAGACCAATACGTATTATCTATACCACTTTCGTTGTAAGGGATATATTACCTGGACCGATCTTTCTATAAAATGCTTTAAGCTGCATGAATATGAGTACTTAGACCATACATATAGTCCCCAGCCAGACAAATATCCTTTCAGAGGAAATATCAAAAAGAAATCTAAATTTTTTTTTTTCAGAATATATCGTCTTAGCGAAATATTTTTTGCAAGATAAACAAGAAACTTCAAAATTATATCCACGGTAACTGCATCGGTTGCCTCTATGCTGAAGGGACCTAACCATGCATTGATACTGTACGCCGCTAAAGGTATGTTTATTTAAAACGTACCAGTTACAGATGATGAAGGGAAACAGCTCGTACGTCTCGAACCTTGGACACAATGATCCACTTGAAATAATTCAGCTCTCCCTGAAATGAGGTACAATTCAAATTAGTTAAAGTGTCTTCAGATAATCAACAGAGGTTGGCTGCCCTGCCCCCAAATTTATATACGCACCCGGCCATGGCCAGAATCTACATAGTCGTGGTGGGAACGCCCCTTACAAGAAGGAGAAATGCGATATCAATCAATCAAATAAATTTCCATTTTTCAAAAACTTACCAATTCTTGATGAAAGGAGACCAAAGAAAACAGCAGTAAGGTCAGGAACCTTGCAATTGGATAAATTTTCGTACCGCTGTCTGGATATGTATAATTTTTCTCTTACTGAAAGAGGGACAATTTTATGTATCAGTAAAAAAAATGTTTGAAGATATCCAGTGAAAGCATCACTTACACAAAACATTAGAAACTCCAACACCTACGGTGTAAGAAGTATCAAAGAAAGATGATTTAAACAAAATTTAAAAGTTTAACTTAAAACGCCTGTCAGAGCTAAGCGTCGAGTCCGGGAAACCATACAAATTATCGAACAAACAAACGTTGATTTGCTGTCGCAACCTAGGCTAACTTAAAAGTTATTTCCAGGGATAAAAAGCCAGAGAAGATAGGAAACTAAGGAAACTACGTACAGCGGAACATGACCAAAGAAACATTTTAAGAAAATAGCTTCTCAGGTTTGGAAATTCCAATTCTTACCTGGTAAACGATTTCAGTAAAATCTGCTCGGGAAATTCCCTGTTAAGTAAAAAGTTGTCTTCAGTGGTTTGATTTAGATGCCACTGAATAACGATTTAATTTATACTGTGGCCGATAGAAACAAAACAAAGAAACAGAAAACCTCAAACCCACAACGGAAACACACGAGCCAACACGGTAATCTAATAGCGAAAACAAGAAAAATACACAACCAGAAAACAGGAACACAATGCCCGAAACGGTATTAATACATCACCCAAAAGGGAAAGACACGTACAAAAAGCCTAAAACAGTAACCGTGACAGATCACAATTAAATATAACAAAATCACAAAATCGTCGAAGAGGATCAACAACCCAAAACAGAAACACACAAAAAATGTAAAACTGTAATTATAATTAGCCATAATGCATTTTCTTCTCTCTCCTCCACTGGCTTCCCAAAGGCTAAGTGGGGAGCACAGACTTACCAGTACTCGAGACGCGCGAGACGCGCGAGAAATGACGTAATTTAGACGTGCACCTTAAAATGCGAAGTAGCGCCGAGATCCTTGTTCTTGACCCCAACAAACACAACAAATTACTGCAAGTGCGTTTTGAATTTACGTTCATCCTGAGTAGCAAATCCACAATGGCTGTTTTTTAGGCTAATCATGGCCCGTACTCAAATCCTGATACACGCGCGCGACTTCGGACATCACACAACAGTAGGAATCTCACCAAAATCGCATACAGTAATGACCATAGGTACCCCAAGCTCTCGAGTGAGAATCGTTGTTGCATAACAGAAATATTATGAGGGTTTGTCCGAAAATTTAAGCGAACGTTATTTAAGGGTAAAAAATAGTAATAAAAATACATCAGGATATGGTGTTTTCTTAGCAGTTTTGGCCATTTCAGGGCGATTTCAGCGAGTTTTGGTTCTGCCGTTGACAGCTTATAATATTTCTTTTATGAAACAACGATTCTCACCCGTGAGCTTAAGTGCAGATATTACTAATTTATGTTTTTGGAGTTAGGAGACAAGACTGAGCGAGGAAAAGAAAGGTTTCCATTTTTTTGTATTGCTCGGTGTCTTATTTTCTAATTGGTATATATGTCTCAGATAAAACAAGAAATTGTTGTCAGATGCCCGCATTCTTGCAAGGTAGTTACGGAATACGTCATGAACTTGCATATAGATAAAGTGCGAGAGCGGATCGAAGTGTAATGATAAAAACCTCTTTCTGAAGATCTCAAATCGGAGACAACGAGCGGGGCGCGCGGCACTTTTTTTTCCTTAAGATGTATTCGTTTATTTATTGTTTGTTCTAGATGAAAGCTAGCCATATTTTGTGCACCAAACAAAACTAGAAGCTCTATTCAGACAACAGCAGTTGTCTCGTCCCTGTACGTCGCTTTACCAGGCCTTCTCAATGATGTATCGGAGACAAAAAAAACTCGCTCGTACCAGGTGACCCGAAACACATAGGCCGGGTGGCCTAGGGAGTAGTACCGGCTGCTGAAGAGATCTTTGTTTTTGACCTTCAATATATGATTTATTATCCTGTGAAGTTTCTTGCAGTAATTAACGTTTTATGCTTGAACGGATGTAATATACCTTTCAACTTCTGAAATCACGGGTACGCCTTTCGGGCGGAGCGCCTCCGTGTCAGCACAGGGATTACTCCCTGGGCATGAATTCGTATGGAAGGTTATAAACCACTGTGTTTTTGCGTTCTACAGCTGGACAACGACAGAAGAATACTTACACTAAGAAGTGTTGTTTTGAATGTCAGTTCATTTGACAAAATAAAACGACAATTTGTCGTTGTCTATTTACTACTTAGACGACAAATTGCAAGTTCACATTTTCTATGAGTCAACAGTAGTTCACGAGCTCTAGGCGCGTTGCGCTGAGTTGACTATTAATTTTGACTCTTTAGTTTAGAAACGAGAATAAGTAGTCTAATCGAAAGTCTAATTGTAGTTTTAGTGGAAGACAAACGGTCTACTTTCTTCGATTCCATATCAAGTTTTCAAGATTTATAGCCTTAGGGGTTTACCGAGGGGGCCGGGCTGCCACGTCTTTTTTGGTGAAATTTCGTATCATTTTAAAAGAATTCTCAGGAAAATAAATTTTTCTTGATTTGGATCCAGGAAATTGTCTTTTTTGTTCTTGTTACTATTTAAAATGGTCATTCTGTATTTTTGGCACTATTTAGCTTTTTGTTTCCAGCTGGGATGGCAGGGATTGCATCAGTACTTCAGTAATGAAGGCCTATTTTGAGCGAAAACAAGAAAACGAAAATAATAAAAAATAAAGGTTGTCAAGAAATCATAGGCTTAATCCTCTTTGGAAAAAAACCAAGATAACTACCACGCATCGAAATGTTGTGGTGTAATGTCACCGCATCGAAAAAAACATCAAACACATTTGAGGCTTTTCATTTTCTTGTTTTTTACTGCGCGTTACTGCGCGTAGAACGGCTGCACCCTTGACAGTGCGATGCGCGGACCCTGGGTCCCACTACACCAAAATGGCGGACGAGGACGAAGTAGAAATTCGAGGAGTAAAAAGACCTCTTGTTGAAAATTACAGCGACGATGAGGAGGAGGAAGAAGCCAGGAGGAAAGAAGGTGAGAATTAGATTTGAAAATGAAGAATATGAGTTCAGATTTGTGAAAAATGTGTTCTCTTAGGCCCAATTTGGGTGCTTGGAAGCTCAACCTCGTGTTTTGTCGGTGCAGTGCAGTAGTTAATTGTTGAGGTGTGATACAAAAAAGCTCGTAGATTGTCATATTATTTATTACTATCATTTTTTATTGCGAGTATGACCTCTAGTTACTTTCGCAGGACACAAAATAACCAAAGAACGCCTAGATGTTAAAATCCTCACCTCTTATTATGTTAGCAGATAAACAGCGCAACTTGAAATTTTAGTGACAGCCTTGTTGCCCCCTTTTTTCCTTTTTCTGGTTCTTAACTAGGCTTTATTTTGGTGGGAAACATTTTAGGAAAGCTTTTAGGATCGAAGGAGTAGATTGCAGCAAGGAGAGTCATGTCCGACAGTCCAATAGCCCGGCGGGGTTAGTGGAGTTTGCTATCCGGGTAGTAAATATGGTTCTTAACTTGCCTGACGGGCAAGTGAAGTTTTTTGGGGAATTCAAATTGAAGAATTGTAATAAGTCCTGCTCATCAAAAAGTTTCTGGGGCTCCTTAAAATGACTCTTGACTATTGCTGCAGGTTGCCTAAATGGCAAGCCGTAAAGCGTAGGAGCTTAAGGTACAGTACATGTAGAATGGGTAATTCTAGAAAATATCCCTACTATACCATGGATGGCTTCTATATTTTAACCCCCTCTGCCCATGGATTTCTTAAATGCATCATCCCCCCATGCCCTCAAAATTCCATGATTGTTAGACTTCTTCCCGTTTGGATATTTGCCTTTTCAAAAGCGTTTTCAAGGAATACACTCGTGTCTGTCCCCCGTAGAAATTCCAGATCTATCCCCCCCACCATGCCTTGGGAGCTCCACTCGTAAGCCTCCCCCCCCCCCCCCCCCCCCCCCACTTGTCTCCCCCCCCTCTCCCTCCGCACTCCTCTCCCCCCTCCCCCCTCGCCTATGTCGCCTTCTTTCAGTATCCCTCCTCTACTTTTCAAAAGCGTTTTCAAGGAATACACTCGTGTCTGTCCCCCGTAGAAATTCCAGATCTATCCCCCCCCCCATGCCTTGGGAGTTCCAATCGTAAGCATCCCCCCCCCCCCCACCCGCATGTTTTTGCATTCCCTGCCTTGCCCTCGGAATTCCCTTGAGCCATCCATGGTATCGTATGGATATTTTCTAGAATAACCCAATGGGCAACAAAAACATGCAACTTGTTTTGCAACATCGCTACAAAACAAGTTGAATAGCGGTGTTGTATGTTTTACCACCCAGGAATCAACCTGTCTTGCAACAAATCAGTTTGATGCAGGTTGCAAAAAGTTGTTGTACAAAATCTTTACATGTTGTGCGTTAATTTTTTATTGACCCAAGGCAAACTTGTTTTGCAGTAAGCACTTGAGGTAACTCCCAAGTACGACATGACTCCCCTGTAATTTTATCCAATCAGAAGTCAGTATTCAGGCAACTTGCAACAACCTGATTTGTTGCAAGACAGGTTTAAACGTGGAGTGATGAAACGTGCAGCATCGCTTTTCAACTCGTTTGGGCCAGCAATGTTGCAAAACAAGTTGGACGTTTTCGTTCTGCATTTTACAGTAGCTTTAGGAGCTTAGGAGTTATAAGACAGTATCATTATCAGTATCATCTTTTTTTCTATGGCACTCAGTGCCATTCATTATGATTCATAGCTCTGTGATGCCGGGTTTACTTTCCTCTGTTTTTAGCCACATTTTAAACATTAACAAATCAAGTTGAAATGTTTCTTTTTTCTCTTAGAACACAGTGCTTATCAGAGCAGACATTGTCCTTACCTTGATACAATAGACAGGTAGGAAATGTTTATTATAACTGTCTATAAATTGTTGGTGAATTGGACTGGTTAACAGTTAACTGACAGACTTTTGTGAAAGGTGTTTGACAGTTTCACCAAACGTTATGGTCTGAATATCAATAATAATAATATTAGTTGCAAGGTTCAGTACAAAACCATGCTGACAGAAGTATTTGAATTCTTATTATCCTATAACAGAGATTGGTCCATCAATTACATAACGTTTTTAAACAGGAACGGCAATGTTTTGTCAAGTTTAAGGATGTGTATTGACTTAGTTTGAATTTTTAGACTTGATTTACACTTGCTGTAATTTTTTCTACCAAAACATCCCAAATATATTGCAATCTGCTGTTGGTTGATGTATATTTTACAGGTCAAATTTGATTTCAGCTTAAAATTTTTTAACCTAGGCTGATTCTCAATTTCTCTTGTCTTCTAGGGAGGTTAAAACAAAATTAACCTGAAATTAAATTTGACCTTTAACATATATCTTCTTTAAAAGCACGTTTTTTCAAAAAAACATCCTTCACTATAATTTTTATGACATCTTTGAAAAATTATCGTAATAGAGGAAGCCTAATTAACATTAAGCTTCATAGTTTTGTTTAGGCATCCTTGCTAATAATTTCTTCCTACGTTGTTTGTATCTTTTTGTAATTGTGATCATGTTATGTGTGGCAAATAAAATACAAATACAAATACAAAACTCTTTAGCCAAAACAACCTGGTCATTACGTAAAATATAAAAAATGACTTTTTTTTTTCATTATAGGCATGTGCTAGACTTTGATTTTGAGAAACTCTGTTCTGTTTCTTTATCTCATATAAATGTTTATGCCTGCTTGGTATGTGGAAAGTACTTTCAAGGTGAGTCCATTATAACTTACCGTTTCATAATTGACCGTTTTTTGAGATGAAAGTTATCAGTCATACCACCTACAGACAAAAAGATGGTTCTTGTTAAAAGAAATTTTGAAACATTGAATAAGATGAATGCTTTATATCCTTAATACATTTTTGACCAGATGAGGTCAAATGTATTGAACCCTGGTCAGAATTAGCTTTCTACCAAGCAGGGTTGTCACTAAGAGCTGGGGGCCGGGGATTTCCCCCGGCTACTCAGAGCATGGCCCCCAGCTACTTTTGTCGTTAAATTAAACCAAAAGAGCACACCTTTGAAACACACAAGGACTATCCATCAAACTTAATGCATTTTCATCTGCAGCAGGTTTAAGTAATTCTGAAATACTCGCGTGCAAAAACTAAGAAACGTCGGAAAAAGACATTTGACTTAGATTTGGTCCTAATACACACATGTGAAATCTCTCCGTTCACGAAATGTCAGTAGGGAGTTTTAACAACGGCAACGGCAACGGCAACGGCAATGAGAACGTCAAAAAAGCAATAGGTTTATTGAGCAAAACAACTAGTTCACACGTGCATCACGCCTTTTTGTACATTTCTTTGCCCTTACTGCACGAGTACGACGTGAAAATGCCTAGTTTCACGTTTTATGGAGGACGTAAAACAAGCGACAACAAACTTTTCTTTCTCTTTCTAAATTTGAGTGCGCCCAAAGAAATCAACTCCAGGGAAATTGGCCTACATTAGCTATTTTCAGCGAATTGAAATAAACGCGACAAAGTTGGAAAAAACGCCAATTCATTTTAAAAGTGACGTTTTCGCTGCCGTCACCTTTGTCGATGCTAAAAGTCCCTAGTTTCAACCGTTGTGTATGGTTTGTGTTGAACATGTCGAAGAAGTGGCAAAAAATTCTGCACTCTTTGTTCACGATGAAAGACCTGAGCAGATCTCTGTTGACATCACAAGTTGAGGCATCATCCGAGGGTTAAATCTCCCTGATGCTGATGTTGATGATAATGAGGATTATGATGAAGGCTTTGAAGATGAAGACTATGACTGATTGCCATGTTTATTATGTGGACATTTAAGTGACCAGGTCTACATTTAGCTTTAGGTATCGAGTATATAAAATAACGTACGGTCAGCGGGAAATATTCGATCATTGTCCGCAGGCCATGATCACATGCTCTTAGTTCTACTTCCAAGAAGTTATATATAAAAGGGAAGTTAAGCATTAGCATTACTTTTACATTCTTCTCCTTGAGTCTTGTTTTGACAGCGTCGTTTATAAAGTATTAACCCTGTCGTTTAAACGCTTTTCAGTAGGTCAGTTTCTTCGTATGTTAAGTGATGTTTCGTTCATAAATTCGAGACCACTAATGTTACCAGTTGTGCAATAATTCATTTGCAATATTAGTTTCACTTTTGTTTTCCGTAAGTTGTTTCGTTCTTACATATAACTAAATGAGGATTTACAATTGCTTTTACAGCGCATTTTAATTCATTTGCACTGTATAAGAATCGATTGTCCTTTCAACATTTTTAGCATTTGTAAAGTATCGTTGTGATTTAACACTTCACTGGCCAGCATGCGCCCTGTCTGCATGAAGATAAGACTGCACAGATAACGTGACCGGTGCCAACCTGTCATTTTTTTCAGGCCCGGTGCTTACATGTATATTCAAATGTGGCGGCCACTAAAAAAACCCTCCAACGAGCCTTTACGTAAAGTAATAATTTAACTATTTTTTTAGTGTCTCAGAATGTTGTAGTTTTCTTTAATAAAGACGTGATCATCATAAAACCGCCAGTGATAGCTGTACTCTTGATGAAGATTGCTTTCTTGGAGCTGTAATGCCTTTTCGAAAATGGTAAAAGCTGCACTTCAAAACCTTCTTGGGGGAGGGGGGGGGGGAAGGGGCTCCATAACTACTTGCGACTTCCCCGGCTACTAACAACAAATACCTGGCAACTTGAAATCTTAGAGACAACCCTGACCAAGACCAAGAAAACTATCATAACTTGACCCAGAGCAGATTTTTTTAATAGTTAAATGAGTGCTGAACGATACTGCATCCACAAAGCTACAGTTGTATATTGTTGATATAAGTACAGTGTATGTCATGGATCTTGATTGTGATTATTTATCAGTCTGATTTTTTTGTCATTTTCAGGTCGTGGTCGGCATTCTCATGCATATACTCACAGTGTACAAGTCGATCATCACGTGTTTTTAAATCTCCATACCTTAAAGGTATGCAAAAATAGTTTGATGAAGTGAGTGTCCTAATATTATCTGTGGCATTGCAATTGGACTAGTACAGTGTACAAATTTATGCAGCTTTGGTAACCACTGTCTGTGTGCCATTTCCGCATACCTGACAGAGTGATGAAATTTTGTGACCTGTAAACTATTACATCATCTTACTTACTTCTGTATCAGGGCTGTGCTGTAAGAAAAATGATTTTGTAGGTTGCCAAAAGCTCTGAAGATTCGTTGTCACCCAGGGGCAAAAGTTAATGGCCAGGCCACAGGATTCTGCAAGCACAGCCCTGCATACACAGAAAATTGCTTTGAAAAAGCTGATGTTATCATTTTTTTGTTTTTGTGAAAAGAAATAAAAAAGTATTTGCTACTGAAAATCAAGACATTTCATCAGTAAATTGCAAAAAACTGTCGGTAGGTGGCTGGCCAAAAAAAGGCAATAGACAGGGGGGGAAAGGTAAACAGCAGGTCAAAATTTGTATGGCCTGCCAAAAATAATAATAATAATAAAAAAAAATGGTATACTGTAATTTTTATCTATGTTGAGCCCTGCTTGATATGTGATGTGGCGAGCTGGTACCCCCAGGATTGGAACTCTATTTGTAATTAACTAAGTTATATTTCTTTTTAGTTCTACTGCTTACCAGATAATTATGAAGTTATTGACTCATCTTTGGATGACATAAAGGTAAATAATAATATTAGTAGTACTCTTTATTATGAGGCAACTTTAATTTTTCACTTTGTGTGGGCATATGAGAGGATGAATTTGACATAATTCAAGGAAAAAGATCATATAATCTCGCAATTCATGTGTTTTAGAATAATGACAAATTAGTGAACCACACTTCAGACCATTACACTTCTTATAAGATGGAAATTCCAATTTACTGCTTGAAGGAACACTTCTTACCGCCTACAACCACTTGAAGGTTTACTAAAATTATATAAGTAGTTTTAAAAACTGCACAAGTTGTGATCCAATCAGATCAAGAAAATGAAAATTGTTGTCTAAAGATAACAACAGCCGATCTGCATAAAGTAGGTCTTAAAATGAGGGAATGATATCAATGTTTCAAAGAACTTAGCTCCTCCTAGGGCGGGGCCATGTCCCTCACTCCATATGGTTGAAAAGACATGGAAATAGTTGAGATTATTTTGTACCTTTTTTTTTTCAGTATGTCTTGAATCCCACTTTTACTAAGGATGATATCACCCAGTTGGACAGATCAGCAAAGCTTTCAAGAGCATTTGATGGAACGACTTATTTGCCTGGTATTATTTTCATCAGTATCTGTCTAAAAGATATTTTTTTCTTGATTATTAACATTTTAAAAGATATTACTTCTGTTCACAAACGGTTGTTTGGTGCAGTCATTGAAAAGTGCAGGAGAAAAAGAATTTTTTTTACAACCAGTTGCAAAAAACGCTGAGACACTCCAAAGAGAAACTGACCTTTTTTAATGAATACAGTAGAGTACAGACTAGTTTTATAACTCTTCCCAAGGGCTTTTCAGAGTTAATTTACAATAAATGAATTAAGAAAAAAAGGAAAATAAAAATTAGCTTACAACATAATATTACAGGTAAATGTCTTAGGCTAAACATATTCTCTACAACACAACAATATCCAAAATTATCTTAGGAAAGAAAAGCAAAATTTATTCAAGGTGGCCTCTGTTATAAGCCTGGTGGTTTTGCTGCTAGTCACACATCTCTGTGATATAATATACCTCCCCCCCCCCCTCATTTCCTCCCATGCATTCAAAGTTGCTCCTCCACGGTTTGAGCATGACTTAAGGGGGGGGGAGGGGAGGGAACAGGAGATTGTGAGCACAAGATCATGGAGTTGCCGTTCAGTCCTAAATGAGGTGTCAAGTATTTTTGCAACTGCTTGAGGCAGGTTTCAGTAAGATTGTGACGACATTTTCATCCAGAAAAAGGCTCCCTTAGCTGATTGAGTTTGATATTTCAAATGCTATTAAAGACTAGATGTCCTGTAAAAAGTAGAAAGATCAGAGATGAGGGAGGGAAGCATAAGTTTATGAAAAATGTAAAATGTAATGTAAAGGAAATGTTAGGAAACAGTCACAAAAGTTTTTTTCTTCTAGTGGGTATAGCAACCCTCCAGCCATATGTAACGATATTAGTGGTTGAAATGAATCCACACAGTCTTACATGAGAGTTATTTTCCATTTTAGGTATTGTTGGGCTTAATAACATCAAAGCAAATGATTATCTGAATGTAGTTCTACAGGTAACATTTTTTAATTCATATTTCATTTTATCAATGCAAGCAATAAATAAGCCCTAGAACTGATCAGAACCTCTTCCTATTTATAATAACTTTACTCACTGGTAATCAAATGTAACATGAAGGTCAGAGAATGAAAACAAATTGATCACCAAAACATGAAATGTCGTAAAGTTTAAACAACAGTTAGAGAACCTAAACAGTACCATAAGCAGTGTATCTTGGCCTGGAGAACAACGTGGAGAATACATGTTGTGGTTAAATTTTATTCTCTACTTTGTTTTGGGGTATGATAATGAATGGTAATGATTTTGAAAGAGAGGAAAGTATAAATATAACTTAAAGTGGGGATTAGATTGAAACACAACAGAATAATACATGTAGGATGTTATTATCAAGGCTTAGAGGGTTACAAAATAAAATGGATGCAATGCCTACCCATCCCTTAACCCCACTGCCTCCACCACACACACAATTTCTTGAGCTCTTGGTTTGTCATTCCTTTTGATGATTTGAAGTATAAAACAATGGCTTTTCTTCCTGAGTCAAACTTCTTTGGGATTTGAAAAACTGGGATTCCTCTGTATATTATAGTAAGTACTAATAGTACTAGTAATTATTATTACTTTCTTTAACTGGTTGACAAGTCAACTTTCCTATTAAATTTACTTTAGCATATCCAGTAACTTTTTTTATGGTGAAGGTGCTGTTTGTTTCTGGTTGAAGGTTACAAATTTATTTATATCAAGATCATGACATTTTGCATATCATAGAGTGGTTTTCGTTTGAGTGTCGTAAAACCAAAACCAAAGTAATTACTCTGGCCAATCACATAGGACACAGACAATACATTGAACCAATCAAAACTCGAAGTAATTACATGCGGCTGACGCAAAGCGACGTCACAATTGGCTTTGGTTTTACTTCTGATTGGATGAAAAGGTGGCGCGAATCTTTTAAGCCAATCGCATCGTGTAGAAAGTGCAAAACCAATTACTTTTCGACACTCAAATGAAAACCGCTCTATGATCAAGTTCCAATACCAAAATAGTTGTCGCAGGTCAATCATGTCCAAAGGATTTTGGAAACTCAAACTTTGATGACATTATTTACAGCGTTAATTTGTGTTTTTCATACATTTCTTACAACTGACACCAAAGTACATGAAATTTTTGGAGTTGAGAATTCACATGATTTTTTGGTTATAATGTTATTGTATTCCATAGGCACTGGCATTTATTCCTCCAGTCAGGGATTTTTTTCTTAGAGAAGAAAATTACCAAAACATCAAGCGTCCTCCTGGAGACATAATGTTCCCTTTAGGTACAGGAATTGCATTTTTATCTGTGTTTTGTTTTTTAGAGGTTGTGGATACTTTCTTGTTTTTGGTCAGCAGTTAACATTTTGTACCAGTGGGATACTTTGACAATAATTATTATTATTTGTGACACTGTGATGGGGGTGGGCTTAGTGGCTGTAGCTAATTGAATGTAATGCCCATGCTTATTGATTTATTTCAATCACATCTCTTGGTTGCATTAAAGAATAAATATTACATTCAATAAAGTATATGATATTGTTGCTACAACATGCATTTTCTGCGGTCTTCATAAAAAGACAAGGAATTTTAAAACTCCCTGTTTTTTTGTTTGTTTGTCTTTTTTCACCACAGTCAATAGGTTTGGTGAGTTAATAAGAAAGATATGGAATCCTCGTAACTTCAAAGCCCATGTCAGCCCTCATGAAATGTTGCAGGTGTGTTTACCTTTCACCAAACATACTCTTTTAAGTGCTGGAATAGCAGTTTAGAGTCAAAATCCAGTTCTGGCCCTCCTGCTTTGTTGCACATTGTATTATTAGCATGTCAATAGGCAGTAAAACCCAGATAATAATAATAATGACTTACCCACTGGGGCCCAGGAGCATTTGCGAAGATTTCCTTTGTGTTTCTTGTGCAAAGGGTGGCACTTTCCAGGCAAGTTTTGATGGTCTTGGGGAGGTTGATGGTGAAACATCACACGGCACTGTCTTGGAAGGTGCTTGAGTGATTTGGAACAATAAGATTAAGTTCATTCAAAGATCTTAAATTCTGTTTGGGTGCTCGTACCTCAACCTGGAGGTACAGTGGCCTGCCTCTGCCATTAAGGGCCTTGAATACTGAGATACGTTGAGTTGAGCTCTATGTTGGAGATATCTGACATGATTATAAAGAGTATCATTGTCTCCTCTTGTTCTCCTAGTTATATTTGACTCTAAATTCTTTTTTAGGCGGTTGTTCTGTGTAGTAAGAAAAGGTTCCAGTTCACTGAACAAGGTAATGACTTAACTATTTGCTCAAATATACCTCCTCATAACTGGCACAAAAGAGAAGGTGATGGACTATTCATTTAAACCACTTTTGTATGGTATTGCTCTCATTTGTCACAGGCTACATGTATATCATGTCTCGTAAGCTTAAAATCAACACAGCAGAAGTTTCAGAGACTGTGTAATTTATTAAAACTTGCAGATTGTGTTGTAATAAGTCCTAAATACTTGACTAATTACCTTGTGTTTTAAACTTGATCATACACTCATTCTTTGTTAATAGACTATACTTTCAAATTCATTTTTTCAGTTAAAGAGTGTACATGTATCCCGTGTTGCCATTTCTTTTGTTTTGTTAGGTGATCCTGTGGAATTTTTATCATGGTTTTTAAATTCTCTTCACACAACCCTTGGAGGAACAAAGAAAGCCACAAGCAGTTAGTCTTTATTTTTCTACACCAACATTGTTCGTTAGCATACATGTATCAAAAATACTCAATCAATCTGAGTCCTAGGGCTCAAAATAATTTTTGGATAGTGGCCTGTCATGTTGTCCAGCCAAAAAAGTGTTAGGTCGGTCATGGCTCATTTCTGAGTGCAAAATGTTGAAAAATAGCAAACAGCTAATTGGCATTCAAAAAGCCACAGAACAAGAACGTCTCATCTGTATTCTCCGAATGATGACATCTTGGCTGGACATTGTCCATTGACCGGCTGTTATTTTAATCCCTGGATTCCCATTTTTGTAAAGTACATATTGTACCTTAGCACTTTCAGATACTTGTTATGTAATAAGAACAAAAATTAGAGGTAGAATCTCATGCGACATTTTTCAAAAATCTTTTCAGGTAACAATCAATGAAACGTTTTGGTGATATTATTATATCATGCTAATATTTTTAGTTTTCATTCTTTTTGCACTAACAGTGTTTTGATTTTAATCTTAGGTGTGATTTACAAGACATTTCAAGGAAAGATGAGAGTGACCTCTCGAAAGCTTCCTCAAACAGAGGTATGTCTCTCTGCATAAAATATAATTGAGCAGGTGTAAGCTAATTTCTATGCTTTAATGTGTAACTTTCTTGCAAAATCATTTTGTGAATGGAAAAAATATTTAAGTTACTTTTGGATAATGGAACTATAAAACAACAATGCTGGCAATGTGTAATGATTGTATGAACGTTTTTGAATATGCTTTTATGGTTTGAGTCATTTTATTTATTAGTGCAGAATTTAGAACACAATTTTTGACAAAGAATATCATCTTAAGATACAGTATGTATAATCAATAGATAGAAAGTGTGGCAGTGAGGACTGTTGAAGCTGAAAAGCTTTTATCTAGAAATATTAACTCTGCAATGTAGCTATTTTGAAACAAACATTGTTGTGCAGGATAATGTATGACAATGGTTATGAAACAAAAGACATGAACCACTTGTTACGTGGTGGTCTTAACCTTCATGTGTACCTCCACATAGAGCAACTCGCATCTAGTCATATATTTGAGTTAAGTACTGTATTTCTTTGAATAGTAGCCCATGCTCTAATAAGCGCCCTCCCCCAAATAAGTGCCCAGCCCCTAGGCTATAATATCAAACAAGTGCAATCCTCAAATAAGTGCCCCCCTCCCCTCCCTGTCACTTTCTTAAGAATAAATAGTAGGGATACGAAAGAAATGCAAAGATCTGCATATCACTGATGAGGAAGAACTCGAGGATGATGAGATGATCGATATTATGAACCGCTGTATACCTATGCATCTCTGTGTTTTAACACTTAAAAATGTTTAATGCGACAGTGGTATGCTTGATTACAACTACTGTTTTAACAAACATGAAACTCTCAATGGACGTTTTTATGCTAGAGACATTAAAGTCATTCGAGACATTAAAGTCGTCCTAAGACAGCTTTAACCTCTAGTATAAGAAAGATAAATAAGACCCTGTAGGCACATTTAATGTCTTCTGTTAAGTGCATTGTTCAGATGCACTGAACAGGCAACTTAAACAACTTTAAAAGGGCCCCCCTCGATTAAGGACCCTCCCTCCAGTAAGCACCCATCCTTTTAGCAGTAATTTTAATTAAGCGCCCAGGCACTTATGCGAGGATATATAAATGGTAATGTTATTGATTTAGCTTCTCCTTTTCACTTTAGAATGAGGAAGAAATTAAGAAGGTCGTTGATGAGGAGGAATACAAAGGTAAGTTAAATCCAAAGAGCTATTTTTCCACCCTACGTAATCTTTGTCTTCCTTACTAAACATTACTTTTACAGATCACCATAAGATCACCAGACAAAGAATAAAAAAAATCAAGAGAAAATAACAATGAAATAAAATTTCAAAAAATTTCAAAAAAACTGCACCCAAAGAGTAGTATTGGGTTATTCCAGAAAAAATCCACACCCCCATGACGGAGGGACAGTTTTTTGACCCCCCCTTCCACCTGGATTTCCAAAACTGCTTGAGCCCCCCTCCCCTCAGGATTTCCAAGTTCAAAGACCCCCCACTCATCTGGATTTCCATAAAATTGTTAGACACCGTAATTTTAATTTACACTCAATGTAGAAGAATCCTTTTAGGCACTTAGATGATCTTTTTATTGAATAAGTCTCAATTTTCCATGAATTCTGTGTTTGTTGTGAAAGTTAAGATTCCATTTTCACATGTTCTTAAAACAGGCTTACAATTTTTGCAAATCAGTTCATATTTGAGGGACCTTCTCTTTTTTTTTAAAACAAGCAAAATATACAGCAATATATACTACAACAAAGCTCAAAACTATGTTCACGAATAAATGGCTCTCTTCTTTGTTGATAAAAAATGACTGCGAAAGAAAGAAAAAAGACACTTGGGGGGATATTACATGACGCGCTAAACACTTGCCTTTCAAACTGGCCGCCGAACAATCACGAACAACATAACCACGCTTATAGTCTCTTAGGGTCAGGATCGTTACAGAGTTGACAAAAGCACCAAACTTTGCACAGCGATAGCTTATTGCAGTACCATGAATATTAGAGGGGGTGCCCAATGCAAATATGCCACTGAAGCGTGCTGAACAGGATTTAATTATTGTAAATTTCACCTGCTGGGGTCCCTGTGGTATTTTGATTGAAAATTGTTATTTAATACCTTAAATCACTCTGAATTCTATTCTCAGGTTGTAAACAATAATTTCACTCGAACATCTGGCATTCCCATCCATTTTTGCTTATTGATTGTGTAATTAAGTTGGTTATTACTGTGCCCTTAAAGCAAGTCCACAGTCCGCCCACATTTTCATAAGTCATTTCTAAGATGGCCTCGTCTTTGCTTCATAACTTGCAAGTACTCATCTTCGGGGGTCTCTTCTCCTTTTCTAATGTATTTCAATTAGAGGAGGCCTTATTGTGTGGCTTAAGCCTTATTTATCAAGTATTACTTGTCGTTACATGTCACTTTAAGCTGAAGAAAGCAAACAAAATTTCAGAAAAAGGAAATTGTCAAAAAGTCTGTTGTATCACATATTATCAGGGATTTATGACAGCTATTCATGAAGAGCAAATAACGAAATGCCAGAACCCAAAATAGTTCTTTCCAAGGGAGGTAATTAATTTTTCAGCTTAACATAGGCCTGGATGCCTTTCAGTCTCTCTTTATCCAGTTATCTGCTGGACGCAAGTGCATGTTTTGACAGAGAAGCAAGCACCGTGGCACAAGTCATATCATTTACAATTTCCACAGTTTGTCTAAGCTTTACAAAGCAAAAACAAACAAAAAGAATCTGGTCTCATAAACGAAAAAAAGAAACAAGTTAGCGCAAGCTTCAAAAAACAGCACAGTTTATCATGAAGCCTCTACATTTGGCACTGAAGCACTCATGTCCAAAAATAATAACAGCTTATCAAGTCGTAAAAGTGAGACTCAAGTGGTACAAGATTGACTCAAATGATAAATGGTGAATAGTTTAACTGCTGAAACTGTAGAAAGGGGGCCGGGCTAACTTTTAGGGCCTGTTTACATGAAGGAAGGGGACCCCAGGTAGGAATGGTAACCCACTTAGGTGGGGTAACCCGCCTGTCCATATAATCTCTCATTTTAATTTGATCACGTTTACATGATAGGTGGGGTCACCCTTCAAGGTGGGTAGCCCGGTCTGCCACACCAGGTAACCCTCTCAGCTGAGGTCAAATTTTGCCATGTCAACGTTTCAACGTGAGGAAACCCAGGCTAGTCGGGGTCGGATTCGAGATACATCAAATTCGCGCAAAATTCACTTTGGCGCTGGGTGGCTTCACATAATTATTAAATGTAACAATAGAAAGCCACAACACTGAAGGTTGCAGAAAGAGCAGCAATTGAGCGTAGACGTGGTTTGCCAGCATTTTTCTTGTTTACATGGTTAGCGACCATTCATATAATCTTGAGAAACTGCACCCCAGGATGGCGGGGTTGTAAGATTGCATGTAAAGGAGGGTTATTTTTTTACCCCACCTAAGCAGGTTACCTCACCTATCTGGGGTCCCCCACCTTTATGTTAACGGGCCCTAAGTGTCAGGAACCGTGAAACTGGTAATAAACGGTATACCTAACCCGGGACTAGCTGTGATACTACCGGCCATCTTCAAGAACGTCAGCATAGCAGCCAAAGAAGCCATTATATCGGTGTAAAAGGAATATTAGATTGCGGTTGTTTCATGCGTCTTGTTTTGTGACTATTTCTGTGTTCGTTTTTGTCACCATTTCTAAATATCAATCGTGTTCAAAACACCCCTACTAACAAAATATTTCGTAAAGCTCTTTAGAATGATATTCAGCAATAAAAACAAGGTGTGACCAGGAACCGATTTCTAGGCTCCTGGTGTGGCAACATAGGCATAAGTGAATGCAAAGTTTTGCAGTATGTAATCTGTCAAAAATCTGTTTGAGTGGTCAAAGTTGGGGCTGATGGGCTTCTTTATCATGACCACTCCATTATTATAAGAGGCCAGGCTATAATTATTGTTGACCCTTGCTTTTTTGGTATTTTAGGTAATTTTCCACAGCATTATTTTGTGAAAAGCTGGCAACTGAATTGCTCTTGAGGAATTCATGATCGTAAGATTTCGTAACCACGGGGTATTCGCCTAATTTCATCAAACAAATTACGCTATTTCATAAATGATGCATCATTGGTTGGCTAAAAGAGGCCTTGTTCCTGTAAACTTCAGCTTCTCTGAAGTTAGTTTGTTTGTAAATTGTAACGCACGCGACGACCTTCCTTTTTTTTGAAAGATCGTATAGACGTACCATTAACACTCTGGTCCAGGGGTTCTGAAGTGAATGAGCCGCTTACAGGTGTACAGGCATGCAGGGACCTCATACACTTCTTTTTAAATGCAAATGTGCAAAAAATAAAGAGTGTTAAAAATTCCTGGAGAGACATGTTTTACAACCTCGTCCCCAGGGCTTAATAAAAAGGTAAAGCGACCATATTTTACGTCAATAACTAGTGACAGTAATAATAAGTGATAAACTTGAGGTCGACGGTGCGCTCCTTTTACCCCCCTCTCTCCTTTAATTCTCCGTTTTAAAGGTATTTAAAGCTAGTCAAAGCTACACAGAAAAAAGAGAAGTTGAAATAAGGAGGTGTTGACACCGGGCTCGAACTCGGGACCTCTAGCCCCGAAGGCTGCGCACTAACTAACTGTGCCACCCTTGCTCCTCCTTTTCCCCCTGAGGACGAGGTTGACATGTTTTAATCATTATCTCAAGGACAGGGTTACCAACGAAGCAAATTATAATCTAATCTTAGCTGCACAATTACAAAGTGGGCGCGTTGTCAGTTACGGTTCATGAGGTCGTTCATGCGGCATGTCAAACTTTACGATTATATCGTTTAGGATGTGATACATTTGAGTTTTATGTTATTGTATGACATCTTTGAAAGCTGGCTTTGTGATCTGTTTAAATTGATATGTAATGATATTATCACTGGCAAGTCTTGGCAGTGACACTGATAGCCGCACATTCAGCACAATGAACATGGCCACACTTACCGTGTGGAGACTGGGCACTAGTCAGTATTATGTACACGTAAAACTATTTTGAATAGTGTAACAACAACTAAACATTACCAAATTAAAAACTTAAAAATTTGCAACAAATGTTTTTTAGCCAAATCAAACAAGAAGAGTACTCACCACAGGACACCCAATCTGCTATTATAGGTGAAAGTTAACCCCCCCTTTTAACTGTAATTAGGACCATTTGTAACGGGCACCCCCTCCAGTATTAATCGGTAGGTGCTAAGGAAGCTCTGTGCCAAATTTGACACTTTTGTCACATCTGTAACGATCCGGCCTATATTTTGTACTAAGAGACCTGACTATTACTTGTAAGGCGTGTTTAGTAGTAAATCACCCTGAAATAGCATTGACCTTGGAAAAATGTTTAATGCAAGGTAAAATCATTGTTTGCTTTCGTTGAATTGAGCGCTTTTTACGAATTATGCAATTTTTCTTGATATGTTCACGTTATTGCACATCGCTTCTATAAAAGTAACGAGGGTGAGCCTATGGATGGAAACTTAAAATAAATGTGGTAAGAGGTCTGTAGTTTGAAAGGATAATAAAATTTGAAAGGGCAAAGCAATTTTTTTAAAACTTATCAATTAAAGCGATTGAAACATCGATGAAATTGAAAGTTACCCCTGAGGATGTATTTTTAGGTTCAGAGCCCCCCTCCTGTCTGGATTTCCAAAACTGTTAATCCCCCCTCCCGTGAGATTTTCCAGCATGCCTTCTGTTGTGGGGGTGTGGATTTTGTCTGGAATAACCCATTGTTTTGTTTTAATTCCTAATCCCACACTTTATTTTCACATTACTTGCCCTGTTTTGCTCTGCCAAATTTATTCCTTTGAGTTTCTTGTATATGTGGCTGAAGTTGACAGGTTCTTATCAAGTTATTCAGTCAAATTGCATTCACCCTTAGCATACCCTTTGGCATGTCTCTGTAGGAATTCTCAATTTGTCTTTTTCTTTCTGTATAAAAAGCTTACAATGATATTAACTCAAAAAACTGATGTTTTTATGCAAGTAACATGTAACATTTAAGGAGAAATTAGTTTTATCATCCTTGTACTCTCTGTAAGTATTATTTTCCCAAGTCAGTTCTCTCAAGACATACACTGCAGTGTTAACTGATAATGTACAGTGTAATTTATTGGATAAAGACATTTCAATTGTACCACTTTGGCAGTTCTTTTTGGTCTGGTGCTATTTATTTTTCAATAAAGATTTATAACCTAAAACTACTTCTGCCCAATTCATGAGTTTAGATTGGAAGTACTTAAGAGATGATGGAGTCTTGAAGTGTAGTTCTACAGTGTACCATGCAAGTGAAAACTCTTTGACAGAACTTACACATGGTACTGCTTGTTTTCGAAAACTAAATTTTGGATTTTTTGTTGAATTTTGACTCAAGCCATCGCTGGAAAAAGTAAGGAGAGGCAAGCAAACTGTAAAGGATGTTCAGTGAATCTTAACTGTTACTGAGACACTGACCACATTTGCCCTAGATATGAAGTACAATGTCACTTGATTTTATGGCGTGACCTTGTTAGAATTACCATTTTGGAGCTTGAGAGGAAGAAATTCTATATACAATAAGATGTATTGTATATAGAATCTATAATGACAAATGACACTGTCATTGTTGTTGTGACTTTTCTTCATTAGAGACAACATCTAATTCTCCATACATGTATCTGATGTTAGACATTCCGCCATCACCTTTGTACAAGGTATGTGCCAAGTATTATAACAAGTCATGTTTGTTGTTGTTGTTTTTTTTATTGAATTCATCACATTTCAGAGTAAATAGGTATGTTGCACAGACACCCAATGGGAATTAAGCTGAACCAGATACAGCTTTCCAACTGAAAGCATACTTATTTATTTAAATCCTAAAAACTAGTAAAACCCAAAGGTCACGGAGTGCGGGCGACAACGATCAAAGGTCAAAACACTTTTGCTCCAACGCTGTGCTTTGCATAAGTTTCACATGACAGGTACTCAAAACACGCGTGATCAGATTACGAGTGATAGAAGGTCCAAACGCGCGTGATCAAATTGTGTTATGTGCATTCCATTCATTCTTAGTGGAAGTTCAAACAAATGCTGGCTACATACATGCGACGCATGTGCAATAACAACCTGGAGATTAGGATTGCAGGCTCCTCTTGTCACCTGCAATAATGAAATATCAGAAGCAGTAGTGAGTCAACAATTGATAATTTCAAATTCTGTCATCCATATTCTCTGTGTTGTTGGATTTTATTTATTCCAAGTAATTTGACATGACCTTTTAAACAAAGAAGGCGTTTAAAACACAAAGAAGTCTCCTGTTCATGGGAAGTTTATTTTATTTATATCTTGTATTTTTTGTTGCTTAGGATGAGTATCAACAGAACATCATTCCACAGGTATGTATTGTTGGAAAGTAGATACCACAACATTATTCAGTCACTTCAGGTTGTTTGATTAAAAGTCACAGTAAAGAAGTCACACCCATAACATGTCCTGAACGTTGCTTTAGTCTCAAGTGAAGTGAAGAAGGGTATATTGAATACATATATTGTTGAAAAATCTAAAGTTACGGATTCTTTTTTGATTGACGTCATTGTTACTTGATTATCGCCAAATAACGATAAAATTTTCACGCGCTTAGTATTTCCAACAGTATGTAGTAAAGTTATGGTAGTTAGTCTCATCTATAAGAAAGAGTACAGGCAATTTAACATTAAATTTACTGGAGTATTCTGCTTTACACCAGGTTCCATTGTTTCAACTCTTAAGCAAGTTTGATGGCAAAACAGAAAAGGTTTGTTATCATGCATCATTTGATGTTGTTTTAGCATGCTGTACGAATACTGGATACTCATTGGCTAACTGGAGTGCATTTGAAATGCAATATGCTGCGCTTGGCTTATTATTATTTCCCTTTCATTCCATGGCCAGTGCGTGTGTTTACGCTGTATTTGTAGGTAAATATAAGACTTCAGAAGTCTGGTGATTTTAACCTTGTGAGTGGAGGCAGTAAAAATGTGGCCTCTGCTCACAGGGTAGGTGATCTTGATCAGCCTGTTCAGTCAAGATGGCTGAGAATTGCAGGTAGACTAGTTCTTTCTTTCCTTTTTCAATGGACCTTGACTTAACCTTGGTCCATGAAAATGCACGAAATAAACTTGTTAATCTTTAGCCATCTTGACCGCATAATTTTTATTGTCAATAACACATGAATTAATTTCAAAAAATTATTTATCCGGCGCTTGGCTTTTGATTTTTTTAATTTATGGTCAATGTGTTAATACTGTATTTGCAGGTAAATCACTGACATCAGAAAGTCTAGTGAACTTGGGACAGATCACAAGAAAAAAGAAAATGACTGTTTTAATCATTAGATCTATTCTTTTTGTAGGAATACAAAACATACAAGGAAACATTTGTCAAGAAGTTTGAGCTCACTAAACTACCAAACTATCTGATAATGTGCCTGAAGGTAAGCTACAGCTGTAGGTTAGTTACCTTGTAACAGATCCAGATACCATATCATTAAGTACCACAAATATATTGTTTCAAGTGACAGATAGCTTAACCAATGTCAAAAAGAAAAGAATTCTTTTATCATGAGAAGTAAATCAGTACAAGAGTACTCCAAAACTCAAATTTCTTCAAAGTCGCATTTTGGCAACCCGGAGCTATAGAATGATCGGTAGACATAAAATTGGTTGCCCAGCTATGGCGGGTCATTATTCTGGGAAACTGCATAGCAATGTATGGACCCTTTCAAGGTATTTTTACAAGTTTTGATAAAGACTGGTCAGCGAATATCCATTCACATTGCTGGAAAGAGCGGCTTTAAATTAGGAAACTTGCCAAGTTTAAGAAGGGTGATGCGTTAAAAGCGAGCGAAGATATCTTTCCACAAAGTCGCGAAATTTTACCGAGGTTTGTATTGTTGGGGGCAAAAACTTGCCCCCCACCATACAAACGTCGGTAAAACTCGGCGACTCGGCGTTAGTTTTCAGCAAATCGCGTTCAAACAAACTTGGCACTTTACTGAGATTTGAAGGCGTTTTTTCAGCCATGTTGACGGATTTTCGCATAGTGGTCCCAGTCAAAGGGTAAAACAACCGAGGAAGAGTCTATTTAGAGGTACACGTGACTGACATCTCGAGGCTTTATTGCTGGACAACCAGGGTAAAAGGGGCGATATACGGAAAATGAAGCTTTTAAACAACTATTTCGTGAAAATGTCTGGCTCAAACTGAAATGGCTGTAGAAAGACCACAGAGTAACACAACCAATATATTTAAGCACTACAGTACAGCTTAGAACACGAGCTGCAGTTTTAGCTGGGTTGCAGCTTCGAGCGTTGTTAAAACTGTGATGGCTGAGAGCAAGTCCCAGAATACCAACCACCAGTTACTTGTACCAAACCGCTACTACAACTTCTGATTAGTAAACAGATTGGACTTTTCTGTTGGAGTACACAATATTATAGATTAAGAAGTGTATAAAGAAGGAAAGATTGTGATGATTTTTAGTAGAGGAGGTGCAAACTTGAGTGCCTGGCGTGATTCAGACTTGTGACCTGCTATGGTTGGTTTGAACTTTACTTTTTGTAAGGTGTCTTCACTTTCTTTTTTCTTTCTTTTTTTTTTGCATAGAGATTCAATAAAAATATGTTCTTCAAGGAGAAGAATCCAACAGTAGTAAATTTTCCTGTCAAGTAAGTGTTTTAGAGTAACGATGTGTTGTGTATTTTTTTTGTGATGCGAAGTTTTCAAGTTTGAATTGTGTGGCAGATTTGTCCAGCATAAGTGCATAGAGGAGAGAGGGACAGTGAATCTCTAGAGGAAATCTACTCCCCATACACATTCTCAAACCTCACTGGGGCAGATACAGTGCGGAAACCTGTAATAAGAGGACACTAACAACACCCTTGTTAGTGTCATTTCGATAGAGTTGTCTGCTAAAAAGTTGCTGTCTAGTGGTCTTGACGTGGGCCATTATTAGAGCAGTATCTTAACCACAGTTGCTTAATTTTAAGGGGAGTGGACATGGCAGAGTATTTGGTCTCAGATCCTGCAATACAAGATGCCCATCCTTACACTCAGTATGATCTGATAGCAAATATTTGTCATGAAGGAGAACCTGGAAAAGGTAATGTTAACCGTCTTCATATCTAGGGAGCTTAAGGTGATGTTACACAAGACGATTCGCAACGACGATTTTTAGCTCAACACAGCATTGCAACATCGCTGCGACATTGTTTTGAATAGTTATAACATTGCTCCAATATTGCAACGCTGTGTTGCGTTAAAAATCGTCGTTACGAATCTTCCCGTGTAACGTCACCTTTAAACAACCACGAGAAAGACGGCGACTAGTACTGCAAAAAAGCAATTGGTTTAGATTGACACTTGAAAACAACATCCTCTGCACGTGCATCACGCTTTTTTGTACGTTTCTTTGCCGTCGCTGCCCGACTACGACGTGAAACTGCCTAATTTCACTTTTTTGTGGTGGCCGTGAACACAAGACAACAAGACAATAATTTTCTAATTTTTTTTTAGAACTTCGATACAATCCTTTAAAATTCAACCCCATAGAAATTCAGTAACATTTGACAAATTGAACGACATGAAATAAGGATGAATTTTGAAACAGCTTGAATTCACTTTTTAATTTTTGCCACCATCGTCGTCGTTGTTGCTCACTCTTAAAACGGACCTGGGCAGCCATCAGAACATGACTGTTTTGTATTTTTTTTGTGTGTGTGTATCCAAAGACATCCATTAACCGATCATTGTTTACGTTTTCCTCCCAAAACGATTTCAGAGTTCCAAGTGCTGGAACAATTAGCGCTGGTGATCGGCTTATCCAAAGTGTCCAAAAGGGCTCAAAACACTTGTTCTGTGGGGCAGATCTGGGTGCCAAAAATAGTCGCTTTTTGGTGAAAAAGTGGAGCAACTGTTAGGAAACATGCCTTAAAATTTTCTTTTTCCAAATACTCTTTTCTAGATAGAAACTTGGAAGGCACTCCTGTTACTGATTAATTGAACAGTACTGAAAGACCAGTTTTAATCCCGGACGTCGTTAGAATCACCCTTTTGGGTGTTGAATGTTTTTGCATTGACAATCCTGCTATTGATACTTAACTTTTGATTATCTTGCTCTCCACAGGTGCTGGAAATTTTAAAGTTCACATTCTGCACAAAGTAGGTCTTCCCTGGTGATAACGATCCAAATAATGAGAAAACTAAACAAATCTTGAAAATGTGAATTACTTTAAAATACGGAGGTCAAGGTTGTTTCTTGGTGTCGCGGACGGGGCGATCACCAAAGGACGTGTTACAGAGATTTTCCTATGACCTTTAAATGAAAACGCGCGAACAAAGAAGAAAGAACAAACGAACGGAAATAGAGCGATTTGATTGGTTTATCGAACGGATACAAACGCGCGTGGTTTTTAGTTGGTTAAGCGAACGCTCGGGTAAAAAACTTCATGCCCAAGAACTTTCTAGAAATAAACCGATACTTCTCTTTGACGTCATACTGCAACACGATTGGCCAATCGAACAATGCCTTCTCCATATTAGGGTTTTCTTTGGCGGGAAAACGAAGAGTCCATGTTTTGATCTGTTCATCCATTGGCTGATAAAACAAATAACGAAAAAAAAAAATCCGCGGCGCACAGTAATTAGGAGTACAGAATATTATTATTGTTTATGTCTTGGGTTTGTCAGAGTGCTTTAGTTATGCACTTGTGTACTGATGTAGTCTTTTGGTACTATTTATCTCAGGGAGCTAACAAGTGGTACGAACTTCAAGATCTTCATGTTAAAGACATCCTTCCTCCAGTGATAACGCTTTCTGATTCCTACATACAGGTATTATTATACTAAGAGTATTCTGCGTTTTATTAGTCAATATATTGCTTCATCTCGTCATTTGAGTTTTAAGAGCTGCAGGAACAGCAAGCAGGGTTCTATCTAAGGTATTTGAGGGGTAGAAGCTTCCCCCCCCCCCAAAAAAAAAAAATAAATGTCCAGCTTCCCTCCGAAATATAATGTTATCATTACAGTATACAAGTAACTATATAGGAAAATCATCCAGACGCGACGAAGTCAGTAGTCTGTCAGTGCACATCAGGGCGGATAAAGGTTGGGCGGTGAAACGAACGCGTCCGAGCAAAAAGGTGTGATGCCGTGGACTGGGACTCTGCTTAGAAATGTCCCTTGTTTTCGACTTCGGTCAGGGCTTGTGATGTAATTTGTCCATTAGACACTGCCGCTGTCACTGAATTATGGCGGCTTGATTTGTTTTCTTGCACTTCTTCCTCGTTCCTTTGTGCTGGTACGCTGTCTCCGAGAGGCAAATGTCGCTATTTTTTGCGGGAGGTTAAGTTGGAGTAGACAAACATCTCTTTCAAAGGGTTTCTCTTCCATGACTCTATCACTGAATTATATTTTCGTTCTATTACTCGCCAATGTCGATGTTATTCCAAAACAAAAACAACTAAGTACTGTCTAAAACACGAAGAAAAATCTCATCCATGTCATCCATGGCAAAACTAAAAGACAGCAGATCGTGTTTCATAACTAGATGACGTCGTATTTTATGAACGCGTGCAGCTCGTGAAACGTGAAATTATGCTAATTTCAATCGCCATCATCCTTCTTTTTAATTTTGAAAAAAAACATCTCATATGTCTTTCTGTTTCTTCGAAACTTCAAAATTAGTTTCCCCTCAGTTTTTACTGTTTACCTTGTTTTGTTTTTGAGAGATAAAAGGACAAAAAACCTTACAACTAACCTCAATAAATTTTGTTTACATACGGTTGCCGGATTTGCGACGCATTGCGCGAATCGCCATGGCGCGTTGCACCCGAGAAGCAAAGTTTGAAGCAGTACAACGCCACTATATCAAAATATATCAATCTAATATTTTGTTATGTTATATAAAATTTATCCCCCTTTAACATATGTAAAAATTGAGGTTAAGAAGTGTTAAGCTTTTGCAAACGAAACGGCGAAAGACGATTAGGTGATATTTAGTGGGAGAAGGAGGTATTCAACACTTTCAAATTAAACTCAAATTTTGGCATTATAACACCAACAAGTTTGACTTATAGGCATACAGACACAAACATATGAAACTGTTTATTGATATTGTTATGAAACGAATTTATCTATTGAACATTGTAGCCTGAAATTACAGAAAGAAAATAGGATTTCCGGTTAGCAAAAAGGAAAATTTCGCCAGCCTTCAAGCGCACCGGAAGCGCGGAAAGAGCGCTCGTGCCAGTCCTACTCCGCATCACACATTAAATGAAGAGCGGAGCGCTCGTTTCATCGCCCAACATTTATCCGCCCTGGTGCACATGAAGTAAGTATTCCCTGTCTAAGGACACTATATGACAAGAAACATGATCACGACTATAAAATAAAATACCACTGTAACATTTCTCAAAATTGTGTCTCAAAATGCACCAGATTGCATCTCAGCGCATATTCATTTCAAAAAATTTCCGGTCGGCAACCTCCTAGCTCTTCAATTCTCCGCCTACTTTTGCATATGCCCAGCAACGTGAAATGATAGCCCTGGGTATAGGTTAATACTACAGGCACAAAATAGAAGTCACGTTGTCCCCTGTCATTTTAGTTGATTTCATATTTCATTGGGAGCAAGTATTAGTACAGTTGTTTAGTGCGCGACCTTCTTTGCGCGTGGTGCCGAGTTCGATTCCTAGGTGTGATCTCAAAGCCTTGTTTCGACTTCTTTCCTTTCCGTGTAGCTTAAAGGACTTTGAAAACCTGTATTTAGGTGCGCTGACAAAAAGAGAGGGAGGGGAAGGTACAATAAATGCATTGTCGGCCTCAGGTTTTTTAGTTAGTTGATGACTATTTTGAACTATCGACGTAAAATAAGGACCCTTTAATGTTTACAGAATTGTGTTGAGCCAAAGCCAAACTTTAGCTCACCATGTATATGCAAATACGCCTCTAAATAGAATTAAAAAAACACTTGAATTGATGGATAGTCTGCGAAGCTGGCGGGATCGTCGGTGCTCGTATTGAGGCAGAAGAGTTGCAAAGCCCTGCGGGGAATTGGGCAGACACATTAAAATCCAAAGTAAGATAACTGAAGCAGTCTTTGAGGTAGCCTGCGTAGCAACTCTCGTTCCTCGTTCTTTGCTCCGAAACCGCAGCGAAACGCTTGCTACGCAGGCTATCTTTGAGGAGATGAAAGTGTTAGTTGTTGACCCGTCTTGACCACAACACAAAGTTGAAAACAAAATTTAGCGGTCTTGCCATCTTGGAAGTTCGTCTCCCCTGGTCTCATGATATTAGACAATTAGTCTGTAGGAATCGTGCCTACATGAGTGAAAAAGTGCGGAGAGGAGGAAAGTGTTCCATCTCTCATCCCCGTTCACCCAGATTTGCTTTCCTAAGCTTAACAGAGTCATCTGATAACCTCAGAAACTCATTCAAGGCTTGTGAGATAACTTTGTTGCTAAGTCGAGGATAACTTATATTCTTTTCTTTATTGCAGATATACGAGCTACAAAAAGAGTCGAACACGCAAAAGACAACAGGCACGTGAATTGGAGTGAAGAATAAAGATTATTTGCCCTTCTCATGATGCAAATTCATAGTTGACTCAGCCTGTATGTAAAACAGTACAGAGAACTTTATCCGAGTGTATTCACACACATCCCGGCTAATAAAACAAAATCCCAGCCCCAAACCTTCACTTCTCTCTCCACGATCCACTGGAAAAACTGTGCCAGTATTAGTTTCATCCAGTATTTATGATAAAGACTTGAGAAGCGAAAAAAAGTCTTGTTGATAGCAATACATGTTTGTTTTGTGCTGTAGGTACTGTTCAGGGCCCCGTCCACACGAATGCGGATATTTTTGAAAACTGATTGTTTTCTCCGTTGTAGCCTTCCGTCCACAAGGAAACGGCGTTGTTAGGCACCAAAATGCACGTTTTCAAAAACGGTCCCCGGGGTGGAGATTTTTGAAAACGCTGACTTCTCGATGTCATACATAATACAGCACATGTCCTGTAAGGAATTCAATTGCATGTCCATCGTTTTAGCGTTTTCGTGTAGACGGGCGAAAACGATTCTCATACGGTACGTTTGGACGCGTATTTTTTGAAAACGAAGAAAAAAATCAGCGTTTTCAAAAATATCCATGTTTGATTTATACAAGAACCCTACCCCAGGCGAGCAGAGTATTTACTGATTATTTCACATTCTGCCCAATGTAATAATGTAAAGATAGTTAAATCACTACGGTAGCTTCTCTTTTCATGTACCTCAGATGTACCTCAAAAGGGTCTTATTTGACAATAAAGTGATTTAATAATTTGTTTTGTAGTCTTGGAAATGTTTGCAGGATTTTGGGGAACATTTTAATGTTCGGGCCCTGATTGTTCCAAAGCTAAAAAAATCTCTATCCAACAGCCCTAGTTGTTCAAAAGATGGATAGCGCTATCCACCGCATAAATCTCTATCCACTGGATTCCCTAATACTTATCCGTTACATAGAGATTTATTTTCCAGCGGATAAATCTCTATCCACTGGATGCTGCAATTGGTTTCCCTAATACTTATCCGCTGGATAGTGATTTATCTGGCATCAGTTGATCAAAAGGTGGATAAAAGGCGGAAAAGTATTACGAAAATCAGTTACGCTATCGGATAGTGATTTATCCGGTGATTAGCGCAATCCAGCTTTTGAGCAACTAGTGCCTGTGGATAGAACTATCCACCGGATAAATCTCTATCCAGTGGATCACTGATGCTGCAATTGGTTTCCCTAATACTTATCCGTTAGATAGTGATTTATCCTGTGGATAGCGCTATCCAACGTTTGAATAACCTAGGTCTGGGGCCCGTTTCTCGAAAGTCCCGGTAACTTTTCGGGCCCGAAATCAAATATTCAAATCGAAATATAAAGAATAAGAGCGCGGGTCCTGGCTAGCAAACTATTCCATTTTGTTTTACTAACTGATAGTTTTCTCATGTTAGATATAAAACCTACTGAAACCTCTATCTTGCATGTAAACAACAACAGCTTTACGGGCCCGTTAATTACTGGGGGCTTTCGAGAAACGGGCCCCTGGGGCCCGTTTCTCGAAAGTCCCGGTAACTTTACGGGCCCGAAATCAAATATTCAAATCGAAATATAAAGAATAAAAACGCAGGTTCTGGCTAGCAAACTACTCCATTTTGTTTCATTAACTGACAGTTTTATCATGTTAGATGCAAAACCATTGAAACCTCGATCTTCAATGTAAACGGAGACAGCTTACCGGGCCCGTTAATTATCGGAACTTTCGAGAAACGGGCCCCTGGCCCCAGTTGTTCAAAAGCTGGATAGCGCTATCCATGGGTTAAATCTCTATCCAGTGGATGAGTATTAGGGAAACTAATTCCACTATCCACTGGATAGAGATTTATCCGGTGGATAGCACTATCCGACTTTTGAACAACTGGGACCAGGGTTCATAGGTAAAACAAGTGGCCCGGGGGTGGGGGGGGGGGGGGGG